TAATATGTGTTAAATTAAAAGTAAGTTTAATTTTTTTTTTTTTTTTTTTGTATAAAAGTACCCTCAGACTATTATCAAAAAGTTGCTTTTATTCATATCGTTTATAATGGAAAGTTTGAAGATGAAACGAAATATCAAACCTTTTAATGGAGAGAAGTACAGTATATGGAAATTCAGAATTCGTGCTTTATTGAGTGAAATGGATGTAATAAAAGTTATTGCCGAGGAACCGGAATATCGATGCAGCGAGTGGGAGAAAATTAATCGGATTGCGAAAAGTATAATTGTTGAATATTTACGTGATTCCTATCTCTGTTTTGCAAAAGAAGATACGACGGCTAAGGAAATTTTAAATAGTTTAGATTCACTTTATGAACGCAAAAGTATTGTTACGCAATTAGCCTTAAGAAAAAAATTATTGGGATTAAAGCTACAAGGTGATATGACAATAATTAAACATTTTGCTGTATTTGATGACCTCATTACGGAGTTGTTAGCAGCAGGCGCTAAATTAGAAGAAACCGATAGAATAGCACATTTGCTGCTTACACTACCCGCATCATATAATGGTGTTATAACTGCTATTGAGACATTGTCGGAGGATAATTTAACTTTGGCATTCGTGAAAACAAGACTTTTAGATCATGAAGTAAAATTGAAAAATGAAAGTTGCGATACAAGTGTTACAAATTGAGAATAAATCAGAATATAATAAAAAACGGAAAATTGAGAATACGAAAACATTATACAAACATAAAATAAAAAGGAATAATAAGATTCAATTTGAACGGTGCAGCTTGACCCGTACGGTGAGCGTGGACTATAGGGTGCTGGATCAGGCTGGAGAGAAACGATAGTATTCCTTTCTTGAAGCTCCCGGTTCCGCTCTGAAGGTAGATATTCTTCTCCGCACGTAGCCGTATAAAGGGGACGTGGGGGGGTATAGCAGCCCGGGGCGTTGGCCCCCTTCTGCTGGTGTCTCTCGCCGCACATTACCATGTGCAGGGTAGTTGGGGGTGGTACTTGCCGGTGATTTTCATAGGAACGCACTAAGGTTCACTTGTAGACTGTTGGCGCCGTCTGGGCCGGTCGGCGCGGTCTTCGCCTGCCAGGTGAGACCCCATGGGGGGAGGCCCGGCAAACTGCCAGCGCAAGAGCGGCCCATGACGACGGCGCCACGCGCTTCTACACTATGGGACCGTGTTCTTCTTCTGCTTCGCGCGAGCGGGTGAGTTCGCGCGCGTATGGCTTCGTCTCCGGCGGTCTAGCGTGCAGAGGCGCTATGCCTCTGAGGTGGTCCCATTTTGATGCGTCCGCGCGTTGGAACAGTCTTGTCGCTAGTTCTTTCACGTGTGCGTCCAGTGGCTGGATTTTGAGGTCCCTCTCCAGGGTGGCGTTTCTGACGAACTTATGCGCACCGGTCAGGGTACGCAACGTCAGGTGCTGTTGTGCTTCTAGTGCTCTTCTGATTGTCTTGCTGACCAATGCGTACCAAGCCGGCGCGGCATAAGTTAGACGCGGGCGGATGTGTTTTATAAATTCCCGTCTTCATCTGGAGAGGGAGATTTCCGACGAGTACCGGACGCAGCAGGTGCCTGGCTGTTCTAGCCTTCTGGCGAACCTTCTTGACGTGCGTTCCGAAAGTCAACCGGCGGTCGATTTCCACCCCTAAATAGGTGGCGGTGCGGGACCACTCGATCGGGGAACCGAGCAGGCGTAGCTGTGGTGGCGTCCTTTTCATGTTGGCTGTGATCGCCTGTGTCTTGCGCACGTTCACCGACAGGCGCCATTTTCCCAGCCATTCTGGCAGGGCATCTAATACTGTTTGGAGTTTTAACGCCGCGTGCTTATTGTTGAGCGACGTCGCGGCGTAGGCTGCATCGTCGGCGTAGAGCGCCAGTGTAGTCTGCTCCGTGGTTGGGATGTCGTCGGTGTACTGCGCATAAAGCACAGGCGATAAGCAGCTGCCTAGAGGCACGCCCGCTCGGATGGGACGCTCACCCGAACAGGTTTGTTCAACCGCCACCATGAACCGACGATTCCTGAGAAATGAGGCCACCACTTGGATGAGCCTTCTTGGCATTTCTGTCTGGGTGGCCAAATTGTACAGCAGACCGTCGTGCCAGACCATGTCAAAGGCTTTCTCCATGTCTAGGAATACTGCTACGGCGACTTCCTTCTTGTTGATGGCCTTTGAACGTGTGCAGTATCCTGATCAGCTGCAGGGTGGTTTGCTTTCTGAACCCGTATTGCTCTTCTCTGGGCTTGATGTATGTGTTTATGTGTTTGAGAAGTAGTCTCTCAAACACCTTCGATACATGCTGCAACAACGTGATTTAATTATGATTCCGGTTTCAATACGTTCTTACCGGGCTTAGGCAGCGTGATAACTTTGCCTATCTTCCATGTGTTTAAATGTGTGCGCATAATACCATTGTACAGGCGTGTAACTGCCGCTATAGATGCGCGGCGGCAGGTGGTGCAATGCCGTATTCGTGATATTTCGTTTGGGGATCGAGGCTTCGTTTTTCTGTGTTCACGCTGCACTTGTCCCGGCGTAAACACCATCTTCGTGTGGCGTTTTTAGTGGCGGAGTAAAATTTAATTTAAAAATAGTTAATTTAAATATTGATAATGGTAGAAAATAGTTTTCAACGTATTTGACTACCATGGCAGCATGCTCGGTATCGGTAACCGGGTTCGGCTGGAACTGGTGTTCTAGGTGTTCGGCTAGGATTTCCGCACGGTCTGCTGCACGGTATCTCGGCGTCCCATCGCTCGCCAGTAGTGGTCGGACCGGGGGGTGGGATTGTGACAGCCGGCGGCATAGGCGGTGGATGCTATTCCAGTCGTCGCCGGCGTCTTCCAGTAATTGATCCCAGCTTTCCTTCCTGTGGGACTCAATGTCTCGCCTGATGTCTTCGGCGAGTTTGTTCAGCCTCGTCTTGAGGGTGGGGCAACGTGTCGACTGCCAGTCCCTACGCAATCGGCGCTTCGCTTCTAGTTTCATCCTGGTGGCAGCCGGGATCCACTCGCGGGTCCTTGTTACAGGTCCAGGCTGCGCTGCGATGTCCATGGCGTGCTGTATGGAGACTGACAGGTTAGCAGCGAGTTCTTCGACTTCAGACGAGGTTGAGACTGCCATCATGGGCGTGTTGCGCTCCATCGAGTCCCTGAATTTCACCCAGTCGATCCGACGGCGTGGGAGGCGCGGCGTCAGGAATGTCGGTGTTTGTGGAATAACCATGCACACCGGCAGGTGGTCGGATTGGATGTCCTCGAGGAGGACTTCCTGCGTCGGTTGGCTGTCTAGTCCTTTGTATAAGGCGAAGTCCAATACATCTGGAGCATGTGCTGAAATGTAGGGATAGTGAGTTGGAACCTCAGGGCCGAGCACGGTGATATCCATTCTCTCAGCTATCCCTAGTAGTGCTTTTCCTTCTGGCGTGTCGTTGTTGGAGTTCCAGGCCGTGTGTTTGCAGTTCCAATCGCCTGCGGCGACAGTGGGCAGCTGCGAATCGAAGATGACGGCGACGTCTGCAGCTGCAATCCTGTTCTGTGGTGGTTTGTATACTGCAAACACACGGATGGGGCTTCTATCTACGCATAGCTCGACACCGAGTGCGTACATGGATGTGAGATTCACCCGGGGGAGCGGTTGATGCACTACGTTCCTTTTCACCAGGACAGCCAACCCGCGATATGCCTTCTGGCCGTCCGTAATCTCGTCCTGTCGGAATCCTGGAATGCGGAGTGTGTCGAGAGCTCCCAGTAGTGTCTCAGAAATGAGACACACGTCGACACGGTACTCCATAAGCAGCGTCCGGAGCAGGGTTGTCTTCTTGCGGACCCCGTCCGCGTTCCAGTGCAGCAGTCTTAGTCCCATTTAGTGTTGGACAGCCTCGCCATTCCTGCGGTGATCGCCGGTACTGGGTCCGATCCGGCTTGCACCGCAAGTAGCACCTCCATCAGGATGGTGAGCATAGTTTTCACCATGTCTGCCGTGCTTGTGTTGGTGGGGGTGCTGGTTTCTTTAGCACGCTTCGCCATCTTCCCCTTGCTGGCGACTTGTGTCTGTACTGCCTGTGCTGTAGGTACGGCAGCGGCGGTTTCCGTTAGGGCTGCAGTTGCTGCATCAGTTGTCGCGTCAGCATCAAGGGCGGCGACCGCTGGCGGGCGTGTGGTGTAGATGCTGCGTGCGGGGGGCTGCTCCGCGGACCCGGAAGCATTTTTCTTTTTGTCGCTGTTGCCTCTGTTTTTCCTCCCCCTCTTTCTCCTCTTCTGAGGCGGTTTCCGCGACCGCTCTGTTGCCGGATTGGCCGGGGCCATTAGGTTGCCCCTGTCCGCGGCTGTGGGGACTGTGCGGTCTTTGTGCGTTGATCTGGAGCGAGTTCTGGCGGTGGCTTTATATTTCTTATCTCCCTCTTGAAGACCGGGCAGGAGACGCTGTTTGCCGTGTGCTTGTCCCCACAGTTGGCACACGTCGGAGGCTCTTCTCGGGGGCGCGGACAGTCGCGCGCCGTGTGCTCTTCGCCGCAGCGGACGCAGGCAAGTTTTCTGTGGCACCCGTGCGAGGAGTGCCGGAAGCTTTGGCACCTATCTCTCTCCCATTCGTGTTTCAACCGTGAAGCAGTTGTGTTTGCATGGCTGTGTTTCGGTTTAAAAAGGGTGGGATATGGCGTGAATTTACTGGGTACAGAGGAATAACACCTGAGTCCTCAGGAATGGCAACGCATGGGGGTATCATGGGCGAAACAGTATACTCTGTTATGTCCATGGTACTGCTCATGTCTATAGGCGACGGTTACCACTTTCCATCAGGTGGGCCGTCATTTGTTTGCCATTCTAAGTTCTATAAAAAAAAAAAAAAAAAAAAAAAAAAAAAAGACCTATGGCACTGTGCCGGGCCTTTTTTTCCCCTCCAGGCTTCGAATCTTATCCCCGGCATGCATAATAGTTCTGTTGTTTGATAGATGCCGGGGATGGTCGCCGGGGTCGCTTCAGTTGTGCGTAGAAAATGCACCGGGCGGCCCTATTATTTTTATCTGGCGGACATATTCTGGACAATGTCCAAGCTCCGCCAGGGCTTCGGTTATCTCCTCGACGGGTGTGTCCGCTGGTATTCCGCGGATGGCCACCTTCACACTCTTTTCCGCCGGCAGCTGGTAGGAGAACCAGCTGATGTGTTCTAATTTTTCAGATAGCAGTCGGAGAGGTACCGCTGTATTACGCGGTACTCTTCCTCCGACAGGTCTACAAAGCGCACCCCTTTTCCGTAGGGGCGCGCGTTAGGGGCGAGTTCAGTCTGCCCTTCAGAGTGCGAAAGTGACGCACCCAATCCGGCAGATGTTCCACTATGAGCGGCGGGACTCTCTGTTTCTTCGCCTCGCGGGGAGGGGGCGCTGCGGTAGCTTGCGACAGCGATGGATTCCTGGGCGTCCCTGCCGATGTCCCAGGCGGTGGAGTAGGCGCTCTGGCTGCCTCTGCATAAGAGGGAGCTGGCACAGCGTTTCTCTTGGACCGGCAAACTGCGTGTCCCTCGGTCTCAGTCTTGGGTCCCTCTGTGCGAGGGGGTGGGCTGTATATGTGGGGAGGTTTGACAGGGGCGCTTGTGCCCCTCCTCCTCGGTCTCTGGGCTTCGGGGTCGCCTGACCGGTCTAGTGGACGAGATCATGAACGATCTGCCCATGTCTCGTGCAAAGCTCCATCTCTTCTACGGGTGGCGTCGGCTATTGAATGCCTCGTCCCCGACCAGAGCCGCAATCCTCTCCTTCATCCCCTGGGACAAAAATCCGTAGCACTTGTCCCAAGAAACGAGTCGCACTCTAATGTTGATCTCGGTGACAAACCGACGCGCGGACCCCCGCCCGAATACGGAGGGGCCTGCGGCTCCGGACGGAGGTAGAGGCCGTCCAGTAAAAAATCGCCTGCACCCTTTCTGGAGCGGTGGTGGTGGTGTCGGTGTCCGGTGGTGATGCTGGAGACATCGGGACATCGGCAGCGCCTCCGGGTCTTGCTGTTGTCCTTTGTTGTACCCTGCACATGGGTACGGCGTCGGTGTCGGTGTGTGCGGCGGTTTCGGCGGCGAGAGGGTGGGGGACGGCTATCATGCGGACGGGCGGGGCGGCCTGCGGGGCGCGCTGGGCATCGGCGTCGCCCAAACCGGCGCGAGAGGTGGTTATTCGCGTGGCCGCGGAGGCGCGGCTGGTTCGGCGCGGGAGACGCTCGGCGTCTCTATTGCGATGCGCGGCGCGCGAGCGGGGCGCTCTCTCCCCGATAAAAGAATCGCTGATCGCGGGCTGCGCACGGGCGCGCGCGGGGGAGGAGCAGCGGTGGTAGGTCCCAAACTGCGATGATGGTACACTGTGTACTGGTACACTGTGGCCCTGATAAGGGCCTTTTCATCCGAAAAGATGCATACTTTCGCATATATTACTTATAGAACTTATGCTTCAGCTTCATTTGGTGTCAGCTTGTAGATGCCGTGTGTGCGGCTTTGGAAGCAGCCTCCCGCGATCCTTACTTCTTGGGGGGGCGCTTATCCCCAGATGGACGTCGAACTAGGGTGGCTGTCTCAGCTGAATATAATTTTGTAACATTGTTTGCAACAACAAACGCACCAGACAACGTCTCTTGTTGGCAACTGGCTATTGAGGGTCGCGGTGCGACGGCATGATAGGCGACGGTCACGCAGAATTGAATTTAGTGGCGAGGGCTCGTAGCTCGTCGAGTGGTGGCGCACACGCTGGTGCACGCGGTGTCTCTGCCACGACGGTTGTTCGGTGGCGCTGCGCGGTGATGCACTCGGAGCTTGTGGTGGCGCACACGCCGCGAAGGTGAAGTGGCTCTGCTGCTGCGATGAATCTTCTTCACTGGTATGTGTGCTGTAATGGAGCGGAATCTTCTTCCGCTCTGAAGAGTTTCTTCTATTTCCTTTATCGGATGGGGAGTGCATGCCGCTCGACGGTAGGCGGCCTATCTTTATACCCGCCCGGTCGCACGATAACGTGTACTAACTAACATCGGTGAGTCTGTGCGAGCGGGACGGGGCGAGTGTGAGAGGGACGCGTGACCCTTCAGAGCGGCACCATTTGGCGTCTATTTATTTATTATAATTTCCAATATTACTATTATTTTACAATCTTTTTCTTACTTCTATTTGTGGGTAATGAGGACTCGATACAAAAAAATGCTTTATTCCACTTACAAGCTATAGATACATCATATAAAGTCTATATAAAATTAACAATTTAAATGATTAAAAACTAACAACTTATGCTAACAAAGATAACTATAAAATATCGCTATAAACTATACATTTTTATATAAAGAAATTATAATGTCGCGAACACAATTTGTAAAGTGTTTTCATTGTGGACGCATAGGACATTTAAAAAAGGATTGTTATTATTTTAAAAGGATGAATCAAGAGAATACATCGGATGTTAAAAGAACTAGAAAAATTCAGGCGGTAGAATTAAATCAAGTACCCTCAAGTTTTTCTAGTTTTGCTTTTATGACCGCCAATTATAATAATTATGAAGAAAATAACAAAATCACATTTCTATTGGATTCTGGTGCATCGGACCATATTATTAACAGGGATGATCTTTTTGTACATTTTACATATTTATGTCCACCTCATAAAATTTCGATTGCTAAAAATGGTGAATTTATTTCAGCTACGAAGAAAGGTACTATGCAGGTTACCAGTAATATGAGTATTTCAGGCATTTTAGAAGATGTATTCTATTGTCGTGAAGTTCCATACAATTTACTGTTTCAAAAATGCAACAAGCCGGAATGACAATTATTTTCGATAATGATGGTACCCAAATATATAAGGATGGTAAGACTCTAATGAAAGGTAGGTTTTTAAATAATTTTATTGCTTTAGATTTTGTAATACCTGTAAAAGTTAATAATTTTGTTTTTCAAATATGCAATGCACAAAATAATAATTATGTGTGAAGTGAAGCTTGCATAAATGGGAAACAGACTCGACTACCATTTAATTATAGTAAGTACAAAAGTCATATACAGCGACCTTTATTTGTCGTTCAATTAGATGTGTGTGGCCCAATCACTCCTCCAACTATAGATAACAAAAATTATTTTGTTTTGTTTGTTGATCAGTATACTCATTACTGTGTTACCTATGTAATAACATATAAATCGGATGTGTTCACTGTTTTTAAAGATTATGTTGCTAAGTGTGAGGTAAAATTTAATTTAAAAATAGTTAATTTAAATATTGATAATGGTAGAAAATATTTTTCTACTGACATGAAAACTATTGTGTTGAAAAAGGTATAATAAAAAAAAAACCTCAAATAAAATACTTAAAGGTTTTCGGTTCTACAGTTTATGTACATAGTAAAACCAGTAAAACTAAATTTGATAAAAAGTCATGGAAAGGTATACTGGTGGGTTATGAACCAAACGGTTATAAAGTTTGGGATACAAAATGCGAAAAGTATGTTACTGTACGGGTAGTCATTGTGGATGAGACCAATTTTATTAATTCCAGACTTATTTTAAAGTCTGAAGGGAATGGTGAAAATTCCCGTGACAAAACTGATATAAGTGACATACAGTCTAAATTAATGTCGTTGAGGGATCATCACTCTGACAGTCCTAAATCAGATGTGTTGAAATCTGATGAGCATAATTTTAATAAAATTCGCATAATTAGTGATGAGGTAAATAATTTACCACACGTACCTAATAGTAGTTCCGAAAATAGTGAAAACACCGATAATACATCTAAAATTAGGAGAAGTGATAGGCTTAAAATCGTACCCCTGTATCCTATAACGAAAATGACGACAACAATGATTATTTAATGTGTGTAATCGATAGTTTGCGAGATACCGAAGTCATTTAATGAAATTAAAACTCGTGGTGATAGGCTTAAATAGGAAGTCATAGTTAAAGATGAATTAAATTCTCTTAAAACAAATAATACATGGACTTCAGTTCCTAGGCCTTGTAATAAAAATATCGTAGATTGTAAATGGATTTTTACAATTAAAAATGATGAATTTGGAAAACCTTTAAGGTATAAGGCGCGTCTTGTTGTCAGAGGTTTCAATCAACAGTATAAGATTGATTATAATGAAACCTTTGCACCTGTTGCTAGAATTGCTAGTTTTAGATTTATAATTAGTTTTGCGAAATCAATTTAATTTGTTAGTTCATCATATGGACGTTAAGACCACGTTTTTAAATGGTAAATTAAAAGAAATATATATGGAAATTCCTGACGGTATAGACTGTAACAAAAATTACGTTTGTAAATTAAATAAATCATTGTACGAACTCAAACAGGCAGCTAGGTGCTGGTTTGAAGTATTTGAGCAATCACTTAAAGAAAAAAGTTTTCAAAATTCATCAGTCGACCGGTGTATTTATGTATTAGATAAAGGAAATGTTAATAAAAATATTTATATGGTGCTTTATGTTGATGATCTAGTCATAGTGTGCTCTGATATTCAATGATGAATGAATTTAAAAGATATTTAATGAGTGAATTTAAAATGTCTGATTCGAATGAAATTAATTTATTTTTAGGCATCAGAATAATTAGGCACAATGTATATTAACACAGTTTTAAATAAATTTAATATGCAGGATTATAAGCCTGTCAGTACACCTTTGGAAAATAAGTTAAATTATGAGGCATTAAACTGTGAAAATAAATATAATGCACCTTGTAGAAACGTTATAGGTTGTTTGATGTATATCATGTTATGTACTCGTCCAGATTTAAGTACGAGTGTCAATATATTGAGTAGGTATACAAATAAAAACAATAAAAAGCTGTGGTTATGTCTAAAGAGAGTACTTAGGTATTTGAAAGCTACAATTGATTTAAAGTTAACTTATAAAAGGTGCAACTATGATAATATTTTGCGTGGGTATGTGGACTCTGATTGGGGAGGTAGTGATAGTAGTAATAGGAAAAGTACTACAGGTTATTTATTTAAGTTATTTGAGCAGTGTACGATAACCTGGAGTACAAAGAGACGAGTGTCAGTAGCAGCCTCGTCTACTGAGGCTGAATATATGGCATTGTATGAAGCTGTCTAACAGAAGCATTGTGGCTTAAGTCTCTGGCAATAAGTATAAATATAAATATCACAAATCCTATTATTATTTATGAAGATAATAATGGTTGCATTAGTATTGCCAATAATCCAACCAACCATAAACGGTCAAAACATATTGACATTAAATATAATTTTTCCAGAGAGCAGATTGAGAAAAATGTAATTAAATTAAATTACATTCCCACAGGTCTACAACTAGCTGATGTTCTAACTAAGCCGTTGCCAGCGATTAGTTTTCAGCAAATGAGAACCAAAATAGGCTTAGAATAATTTATTATGTAATTATTGTAAAATGTATAAACAATAAATTGTAATTTGTTTATTAAGATATTAATGGTCTGATTAGGTTTTTCTGGGTTTCCCTAATCCAAAGCAACAAATGTTGGACCATGTTTTGTATTTTTCCCAGCAATTACTAGGAAGTCACATGTGATCTGTTTATATTATATAATTGTGATTGTATATGATTGTTTAAGGTTAATGATAATGAATGTAAGTAAAGATTAATTGTTGAGGGGGCGTGTTGATATTATTTAAATTAATGTGCAAAAATTAATCTCTCATTTAACTAAAGAATGATATTGAATGACTCATGTATTTAACTTTCACTTTCCTACGTCACCGCCCCACTCCTTTTCGAGCGATACTCCTATGCGCTAGAGAGCAGACTTGCATTGACTTCCTAGTAACACAGTAGAGAAGACCAATATAAAATATTGGAGAGCTTGTTTTATTGATTCAAAGCCCAATTTCCTATAAAACTGTTTGAGAAAAATACTATATTTCTTAAAAAAAAAAAGTGGTGACCTTGTGATGTGCTTGGAACCCAAGGACGGTACCGTGAATACATTTTCCCAGCGCTATTAGAATAAAAAAACCCTCTATCTGGAGTTTAGTTTTTTAAGATTTCTATATTTTTTATTAGTATTATAAATAAATCTAATAAAATACAGTTATTGATCTATTTCTAATTTTATTATTCCTAGTACCGTATCAGCATGTAGGATTACAGGGGGCGCCGTATTAGACAGGGACCGGATTACCGGGGGTCTACTGTATTGCAAAAAAACTAAGCACTAAATTTTATTAGTTAAAAAGAACGGAGAGAAATTATATTGAATACGGATTATTTTACACTTTAATTTCACTAATTGGACTAAGCTGATAAAAGAATACTGTAATTCCTGGAAAAGAGTCTTTTGAAAACTGGTTCAAACGCATGAAACTTTGTATAGAGGCTGGTGGAGAGTACTTTGAAAAGATGTAATAAAAATATATTTACCTATAGAACATTTTTTTATTGTCGCAAAACTTTCCGAGTGTCCTGTTGTGCTGTTTTTAAAATGGCGCCATATTGACTGTCATGGCGCTTATTCAAGGTGACCATGACGGGTCCTGATAGAATATAATTTTGTAACATTGTTTCAAACAAATACGTCATTCCAACAACGATGTTCAAACTGTCGCAGGCCTGCATTATACATGTACAGGGTGGGAAAGGGATTGTTAATAATGAGATTTAACAACCCCATTGCTAGTAATATACCCTATCAGGTCGACCTCCAAGCAGTTCCCCCTGGAAACCAGATTGGTTAATTCTTGTTTAAATGATCACTATGGGCCAACTTGACTTGCCTTCATCACCACCTGTCACCCTTCACTAGTACCCTGCCAGCGTAAACCGATAGCGCAGGCAGGGTTACCATTTCGTCTTCGCCCATTAAAAAAAATTATACATATACATTGAAGCGCACGTTTTTCCCGCGTTAACCCTAATTACACACGCACACATTATCGCATGTACAGACGTTACTTGTTTCTATAGTTGTGGCAATGGATCGAGGTATTTTTGTATGAAATGTCCGGGTTATGGCTATAGTAAATCTATGAGGTTAACAGTCTAAAAAACAATTATCATGAGGTACTACAACAAATGTGATTTTATAACATTGTGTTGATTATTTGATTTTATAAAAATATTGATTAGATGTTGTTTATGAATAAATTGTTTATTTATTACATATTTGTGATTCTTATTAGCAGATCTTCAAATTAATTACAATTGTTCAGCAATATTTATCATTACATAGGTATGTAAATATTATTTTGGAAAATAATAAAATTATACAGTTATATTTACAATAAAATAAGTAAAATAATACGTAGGTAAAATACTCTGAAAAATAATGTAATAAATTCAATAGTCCATGTCTATTGTCAATTCGGTAGTATAAGTATTTTTTAAATATAAGAGTAGTATTATTTAGTATTTTAGTAATAGTATTTTTTAAATATATCAACAATGAATACCACTGTGTTGGTTGATGAATATATTGTTAATAGTATAAAAGAACGGTTATTCGGTATATTATATTAAATCAGTCTTACTTTGGAAACAAGCGTGGCGGTGTGCTTTGTTGAATAATATATAATGAGTATTTCTATACTATAATTTAGTTAATGTTATTATATTCTAAAATAATATATTAATGGCTTTAATTACTTTGTGAGACACTATATTGTATGATATGAATATTATTAAATAATATATATTAATTATATATTATGTTCTAAGGAATTGTTTGAAAAGATACCGACAGCCACTTTTTATCATCGCACCGCTCGCCATCGACAGGAAATTCATTCTCACGCGCTTGAACCTAAATGTTCACATATAATGCGGTTTCAATGGCATTTTCTCCCGCGAACACTCAGGCTGTGAAATGGGCTCCCTGCCGAGGTTTCCCCTACAGACTACAGTATAGGGTCCTTTAAAAAGGATATATTAATGTTTCTTCAGGGTTGACAACGCGTACGTAACACCCCTAGTGTTGCAGGCGTCTATAGACTACAGTAACCGTTTAGCATCAGACGGGCTGTATGATTGCTAGCCACCTTCGTGGTATAAAAAAAATTATGTAACACGTAGATATCTACATTCCATAACTACATTTAAAACTACAGACACAAAAAATTATATAAAGATAATGAAGAAGAGATAATAAACATAAAATTTATATTAAGAAAGGCTATCGTTGGACATTCATTGCAAACTAAACGAGCATATGGCCCAACTAGGGTTATGCCCAAAGTGTTTACAGAATTTGTCACAATGAGAAAAAAACGCCGCAGCACTTAATATGTAGCTGTAGCCTACTCATACATACAGGATATAATTATCTCCTTTGGAAAATACTCTTTATATCTTTAGGAGATAAAAAACATTGCACCAAAAACATTTTATAATTCCTATCATTTTTAGGAATTAGCAGCGAACTATAAAAAAAGGCCGAGCACAAAAGATCATAGAAATAAAATAAATATATATCAAATAATAACTTTTCTTTATATTTCAGGTTTCTGCAACATCTTAAGATTATCAAGTACCTGAAGGATTCACTGCTATGATTCCAAATAAGTATCATTATTTCTACTATATTCTAAACTTTCTTTAGATTTCATTAATTCTTTCTATTATCACATTACTATCATTTAACTATATATAGATACATATATATATTTCGCGTCTGCTAATTCGATCTTAAATGATTCAAGCCATGACAGTGAATTTAATTTCTTTGCTGGAAGAAAACTAGTAATTGATCTTAACACAAAAGCCTTCACTGATATTGTGAGGCTTGGTTTAAGTATTGATTGGAGATTTATAATGACCATAGTTTTTGAAGATATATCTGTATCTCCCCCTAATACAGATACATATTCATGTATTGGTAATTTGTTTAAACCCAAATGCTAGATAATCACTTCAATCACAAATGAAGATTGCGAACCTTGATCCAAGAATATCCTGCTTATAAAATGCTCTCCGTTATATGATGTCGCTTTTACTAAAGCAATACCTAATTACAATCCTCCTGCCCGAGTGGCTTGATAAGTGAGGCACCACCGTCAATGTGGGAAAGACGGTGGCGCTTGCCACTCGCTGCCGGACACGTCACCCGCCACCTCTCCACCTCCGTGGTTTGCCCATTTGATGGAAGCGCATAGTGCGCTACCTAGGGGTACAGATCGACCGGTCGTTGCACATGACAACACACGTTACGCAGGCAGTCACACAGGCTAAGGCTGCGCGGACCATGCTACGACCGGTTCTACAATCCAACTTGTCGCTGCGAACGAAAGTAGGCATCTACAAGTCCTATATTCGTTCGTAGCTGACGTATGCCTCCCCTGCTTGGTACGCACTGTGCTCCGAACCACAGAGGCGGCGCCTGCAGGTTCAGCAGAATTGCGCCCTGCGACTGTGCAGAATGTCGATATGTCAGAAATGACGTTATAGCCCGAGATCTCGCGGCCCCAAGCGTGGACGAGTTTGTCCGCGCCATGTTCACGTGTCCACCCTCACCTAAGAGACTTTACCCCACTCCATGCGTGTCCACCGGACCCTACACGCGCGCTGCCGCGAGATCTCCTGCGCACAGCGGGCCCCACGCAGGACGACGGTTAAGCCGGCCCGGCACGGTTGACATCGTATTATATATATATATATATATATATATATATATATATATATATATATATATATATATATATATTTTAATATATATATTTTAATAATTTTCTCACATAGTGTCCTGTTTGGGCCCAGTGGGTAGGCGCGTAGACGACGCGTAAATGACGCGTAGGCTGCTGCCTACGCAGGAGATGTCCGGGAAAAGAGAACTGATTCGAGGCTCGTACCTGCAACCCCGTCAGGGGCTGCGGATGAACCGCGTCGTCGTCATCGTGATTACAACATGTTTAACCTGTAAAAAAGAATGTAAGTAATCGATTTAAATTACATTCTACAACATATGTCCCTTTAATGATGTCATTTTCTTTCGATACAACATCTCTTTGATCTTTATTTCTTTCAGCAATAGGTACAGAAGTATCTATATCAGTAGGGTGCAACAATGAGTGGTGATTATTTCTACATATTCTACATTTGTTACAACTTCGACCAAATTTAGCTGAATGGTTATTCCCTAAGCAATTAAGACATATGTTATTATTTTGAACAAAATTGCGACGATATTTTATATTCTCCTTCGCAAATTTTTTACAAAATGTTATTTTGTGGTTTTCAGAATAAAAAGAACATTATTTTAACATTATATGATACATAAAAAATTCTAAGTTTATTATGTCAAGTATCAATATGAGTACTGAAATTATTATTTACAGGAATTAATTTAGGACTTGATTAGATTTGAATCCAGGAACTCTAAAGTACGATAACGTTTAGTAATAAATACTTTAAACCGCTTAAAAGTAGGTAGATAAATAGATAGATACATTACTCTTTATAGATTTTTTAGATACTCTTTATTGTTTCCACCAAAAGATTACAATAGTAAACTTATTATGAATATACTTAATTACAATTAGGTAATTATTCAGAAGAGTTGCTACTTGTTACGTGAAACTCCCATTGTATCCTGGACACCGCATTAAGCTTATTCCAGGTGTAGCGGCTTAGTTGTTCGAGCAGTATCTAATTTAAAAACTTGTTGGGTATACTATACACATTTAATTAACTAAAGCTCACAGATTGATTTACTGGATAGACTCTCATCCGCAAGCACCAGTCTCTCACAAAATTGGTCTTCATATCAAATCGTACCTCATGTTGTTACTTTATTCTACCTTTTGTGAAGAGAAAATAAACCATTCATTCATTAATTCAATTACTGGATAGACTAGACTTAGATGAAGTTGTAGGCTATAAACCTATTTTAAACCTACGTAGTTGTAGAAAAATAAACAGTGACGTGCTTGACAATCTCCTTGTCTTAGCAATTTTACCGAACAATATTTTGTATCGCGACTTATTATATCTGGATTTATTTACTGTAAATATTATTCATTATACAATCTCATACTAAATATTTCTTTCTTTCACTCCTACTGAATCTATATATAAATATCGTCAAGCCCACCTCTACACTTCTGCACTGGTGACTCCCTTTTAAATATTTTCATTCATCGATTTTTGGAAGAAAAATGACGGAGAGCGGCACCATTTCCACAGTACGAGACGACACGTTATCCGAGGTATTTAAAGTCGCAATTAAAGTTCCAACGTTTTGGCCAGAACAGTCAGAGATATGGTTTGCTTAAGTCGAGGGCCAATTTGCTATTTCAAAGAAACCAGTGATGTAACAAAATTTAATTATGTAATCGGTCAACTCAACCATCAGTTTTTTAAAGAAGTTAAAGACATTATTATCAGTCCACCAGCAGAGGGAAAGTGTGAAAAGTTGAAATTGGAGTTGGTTAATCGCCTCAGTGCATCCAAAAAGAAGAAGGTAAAACAACTGCTAATGCACGAAGAGGTAGGCGACTGCAAGCCTTCGCAATTATTAAGGCATTTGCAGAGCTTAGCTGGATCAAAGGTACCAGATGAATTTCCTTAAACAATTTGGACCAGCCGTCTTCCTGCTCGTATTCAAATTATCCTTGTGGTACAACCTAAGGCAAACTTAGATGTGTTAGCGGATCTAGCAGATAGAATTATGGATCTCACACCAAGTTCACCTCAAGTTGAAGCCACAGCTTGTGATGAGACAGCTGCAGAGCCAAGTTCTAGCAGTCATATGGCGAATGAAATAGCGAAGCTGCGCAGACAAGTAAAGTCACTTACTATGCAATTGAATCGTCGCCAGCGTTTTAGATCTAGGAAGTCTCAACGTAGCCGATCAGCATCAAGATCTCATTCTTACTATAAGAAATGTCCCGTATGTGGGTATCACCATAACTTTGGCAATAAGGCTAACAATTATGTCAAGCCATGCGATTACAATCTAGAAAACTAACAAGGCAATCGATAGCAGCAACCAGCGATTGCCTAACCTCCTATAGTCGCCTTTTCGTTATGATAAGATCCAGTTTCTCGTCGACACCGGAAGCGTTCTCTGCGTCTTTCCACGATCACTACTACGAGAACGTCGGCCCAAGACCAATTATCAACTGCGTGCTACTAGAGAAATGAGAAAATGCAGAATAGAAAAGAATATTTTTTCTATTTGTTATAGGATAGCAATAAGCAAACTCGAACGTGCATACGCCGTCGAAAAAGGTAAAAAGTGAGCTGCGGTCGGCTCCCGGCATTATCTGCAAAAGCGCGCCAAACTCGCTGCTTTTGCTGTGAGTTTTCAAGTGAATTAATTCAACTTACGCGGCGGTTCAATTATATTACCATCTGGCGTACTGAAGGACCATGGAAACGTGAAAGGAACGAGAATTTTCAGGGATAATACATGTTGTATTATTTTATTTAATTTTACAATAAATAAAAAGCAGTGTTCTGAATGTATAAATAACTAGTTTAAAACTTTTTTTGTTACATTCTGTTACCATGGTAACGCGTCTATTTCTCGGCTGCCAGTATTAAATTTACTTTTGTAATGATTGCACAATTCAAGTACGTGGTTTTCTTTTCCATCTTGATTTAATGTTTATTTTAATCAAATCTTTGGTCATTGAATTTTATATGATGTTATACTAGTTAACATCACATAAAGTTCAATAAATATAACAGACTTATATATATAATCGATAGTGTGATCGAAAAAGGCGGGAAACGTTAATCTTGGCGATATTCTGAAGAACGAAACTAAAATTAAAATATTTGACACTGGCAGAAATGGTCGTAAAAATAAAGACCGATTGCCATTGAAGAAAAGAAAAAAGATTGTAGTAATTGACCTTGAACCAAATGCATGGGTGGGTACTTCACGTGGGCAGTTAATTAGACGATCACCTAATTGGAGGATGAAAAGAAGACGCATGCGTAGCTCTGCAGGTTTGATTTTCTTGTCCAACTTTATTATCAGACTATTTCGTAACGTTCTACAGTTACATCCTAGTTTGGAATCAGTGCTAAGTTTAACGTTGTGACGGAAACACGCTCCGTGGTAATACAAGTATACCTAGTGTAAGTGAAAAATAAATTAATAATTTTAAACTTTCTCGTTTTTTACACACGTTTAAATTAATTTTTGAGACCTAATTTTCGCTACTACAACTTAAATCATAATAATTTCATATCGTATTAAGTCCCAAAAATAAATTTATATTTAAAACTTAATATTAAAACTTTACATTCTTTGAATATTTGTTAAAGTTTTGAAGTTTACAGTGTACGAAGTTGTGTACTGTTTGATCAAACTATTTACCTGTAAATTTGAGTAAGTTGATTGCTATAAACAAAATCTAAAACAAAATTATACAATAACAACTACATAAAATGAATATAAAATAGAGGCCAAATGGCCGCCGTTGCTGGTATTGTGAGCACCAAACTGGATAAAGCACTACTGATATTTCTCGTTTTATTTTCTATAAAAAGATAATTTAAAATTGTGTTTCACACAAAAAGAAAACCGACTTCTACTGTAGTAAAACCAATTATTTTAATTTCAAAACTAAACTACTAAACTGATTTTGATAAAATATCTATGAATCGTGTCTATGAGTATTCGTGTTTCAACCGTGAAGCAGTTGTATTTACATGGCTGTGTTTCGGTTTGAAGGGTGGGATATGGCGTGAATTTACTGGGTACAGAGGAATAACATCTGAGTCCTCAGGAATGGCAACGCATGGGGGGTATCATGGGCGAAACAGTATACTCTGTTATGTCCACGGTACTGCTCATGTCTATAGGCGACGGTTATCACTTTCCATCAGGTGGGCCGTCAGCTTGTTTGCCATTCTAAGTTGTATAAAAAAAAATATACTTTCAGATAAAAAAAAGAAAATTCTAAATCGACGTATAATTTACGGAGTTATAGTGTGTTACCCTATAACTTCGTACTCTCCTACTACTACTATTACTACTCCGTAACATAAAAAAATACAAGCGAATTGAGAGCTTTTTGGAAAGAAAATATAAAAAAGAATGTGCTTATTCAATATTTGAAAAAGAGGAAAAATTATTTTGTTCATAATATATAAAATCGTAAACTGACTACCTACTTATAAATTAACTATTATCAAATATTACACGATCACTTCTTGCTCGATTGGTAATTGTCAGAACTAACGATATTATATGTAAGATTATGTTGAAATTGCGAATGGCATCTATCACGCATACAGAGGCTTCAGATTTGAAATTTATTAAAAAAAAAAAGTTAACGTCTTTCTAAGTCTTAAAAATCGTTCAATATTGTATTAGTTAACACACACTTGTATTATTAACGAATAATTAGTTCATAGTGAGAAAAAAAAAACAATATGTAAATAAAAGAGAGATAAGGTAAAATAGTGTAAACAAAACGTATTAAAAAACGGCGTTCACTCTTGTAAAAAGTCTGTTGTTGTTCTATACCATGTGGTGTTTTTATAATTTGAAACGTTATATATTATAATTATATAATTATATCAATACAAAATTGATATATACTCATTGTTTAAAGTGAAAGTGAATAAAAAAAAATATCTGCAAACGAAAATAATTTGTCGAGGATAATCTCCAATTTCAGATGAAAACAAACCCGTTTGTGTGGCACAGTTATAGTTTTCATGAAGTTGTCGCGTATTAGCTTCATGTCCATGGGTTCGAATCTACATTTTTTTTTTCGTTATATATAATGAAATAGACTTCAGGCTTCAGGTAGCTGAAAATCAGTGCTTTACTTTTAAACAAAACTATCACTGAGCTGTAACCTAGGTCACCGCAACACTTATGGCAAAAAGATATTTTCGTATTTTACCTTTTCTTTTATATTTAAAAAAAAGTGTAATTAATTTGATTGTATGAACTCATTTGTTAA